TGCTTCACTGATGCAATGGGTGGAGAAGGGGATTCTGATGTGTATGTACATGAATCTACCTTTAAAGCCAGCTTAAGAAGGCCTGGCGCAGTGGCTCACGCCTGTAATCCTAGCACTCTGGGAGGCTGAGGCAGGTGGATTGCTTGAACTCAAGAGTTCAAGACCAGCTTGAGCAAGAAGAGTGAGACCCTGTCTCTAAATATAGCCAGGCATTGTAGTGGGTGCCTGTAATCCCAGCTACTGGGGAGGCTTAGAAAAGAGGATCACTTGAGCCCAGGAGTTTGAGATTGCTGTGTCTATGATGCCACGGCACTCCATCCAGGACAATAAAGTAAGACTCTGTCTCAAAAAAATAATAATAACAAAAATAAAGCCAGCTTAAGAAGAGCTTAGGAGAACACTTAGACTCTTATTTTTTGCAGTTTTTGGCTGGGGCTGGGTTGGAACCCACCACCTCTAGCATATGGGGCCGGCACCCTACTCCTTGAGCCACAGGCGCCGCCCAGAACACTCAGACTTTGTACTGAAATTCCCCAGCCTTTATCCCTCAGCTGTAGTACAGGTGGCACAAATGAATACTAGTGATAAGGGGGACTTAGAGAGTTCAGATGATCAGTGAGGGAGAGGGGAGGAATTTAAATGCAGCCAGTGATTTTTCGGATGTGCAAATTTGTTTAGGTCACTCCTCTGCTTAAATACATTTAAGGGTTTCTGATGCCTCAGGAAAAAAAACTATCTTCTTAGGGTCACCTCCATTATCTGCTTCCTTTTCTAGCTACAACTTTTGGCTTGTGCCCTCCCCTGGCCCTGCAGCACTAGGTCCAACCTTGCTGAATTCTCTCAGGAGACTCTGGAGTCAGGCCGCCTGGGTTCAGATTCCGCCTCTGCCACTGGTAAATGGTGGCCTCCTGCACTTAGTGTCTGCTCTTATAAAAGAAACCTGCCTCCTTCACAGGTTGTTATGAGAATCAAGTCAGCATTTCTATGGATCAGTGTTATATAACGTCATCATTACCCAAAGGCTCCATGTTCTCTTTATATTTTCACACTTTTATACTTGCTGCACCCTCTGCCTCTTGTTTCTTCCCCAGCCCCCTGGCCTGTCTAATGCTCATTCATCTTCTAGTCTAAGTTTAGAAGTCACATCTAATAACCTCTATGCTGACGGTCCCCAAAGATTTCTGATTGATTTCCCTTGGGCAAAGCTTTATGGCCCTCTTGAACTTAAATGTGGCCTCATGATTTGCTTTGGTCAATAAAACTTGAGTAGCTTTAAGAGAAGCAGAAGCTTTAAGAGCCAAGGTATAGGCCACCACATCCCCCTCCACTGCTGTTCTGGCTCCGCACAGGCACCACACTGAAGCCTCCGGCAGTCCAGGTCTCCCACAGACCACAAAACTTAGGGCCCACGTTGACTACACCAGACAAGAAGAATAAGTAAGAAATTAACATGTATTAAACCACTGAGATTTTGTTTATTCTGACCTATGTTCTTCATCCTCTCTCAGGCTAATTTAAAGGCATTTATTTTAAATTTGTCTTCCCACAGAATGTGATGTTTTCCTTGATCAGCACTCAATGCACTGAATTCTAACTGCTCATTTAGATGTCTGTCTCTGCCACTAAACTATAAGTCACCTGAGAATGGGGAATGCGTCTTGTGCAATTTTTTTTTTAATATTTACTGCTTGCATAGAACCGGATACAAAATAGGCACTCAAAATTCTGCACTGATTGTTTTCATTCTAAGAATTGAAAAAGAACAGTTTGCTTTCTGTAATAAATACTTAATCCTCTCAAGAAACTTTTAAAAGTTCCTCTGTGTTCTGGCTGGAAATCAGAACACAGAAAAATGGAATGCTTTGTTCTTTTTTTTTGAGACAGAGCCTCAAGCTGTTGCCCTGGGTAGAGTGCTGTGCCATCATAACTCACAGCAACTTCCAACTCCTAGGCTCAAGCAATTCTCCTGCTTCTGCCTCCCAAGTAGCTGGGACTACAAGCACCCGCCACAACACCCACCTATTTTTTGGTTGCAGCCGTCATTGTTTCTGGTGGGCCCGGGCTGGATTCGAACCTGCCAGCTCAGGGGTACGTGGCTGGCACCTTAGCTGTTTGAGCCACAAGTGCCAAGCCAGAATGCTTTGTTCTTAAAAGGGACATAGTTGAGGCATAAGTCCTTGAAGTCCTGACAGAAGATCAAGTTCAGGGAGTTCAATAAGGAGCTGGAGCTAGAGAATAGGTTGTGCTTCCAAATCAGAGATCACTGAATCTCTGGCCGTGCCAGGGATTTAGTGAGTCACCTGAGTCACCTGATACCTTTTATGAATTCTTTTCATGTTTTAGGAACAAGGAACACTAAATGATATGCCAGTCCCCTCAGGTCTAGCTAAAGATAAAGATCTTATTTTTACTACTTTACCCTTTGTCTTAACTGCTTTAAATCACTAGCTTAAACCCAAGGTTTCTCTTGAACATGATTAACCTTTGTCCCTACTTTTCTCAACATGGGAGAGATTGTAGAGGGCTACCAAAATCCATTGTTCTATTGAAATGTGCGTTGACCCTGCTGGCCTAGGTATAGCCACACACCTGAATTTCACCAATGGAATGTGAATGATTGTGATGCACGCAACTTCTGTCCCACCTGCATAATGAAAAGATGCTTCCTTGGTTTGGGCTTTTTCTCTCTTTTCCTTCCACACCCATGGTATTAGCTTCAACCAAGGAGATAAGAGGACACCCTAGGGGGTGGCAAAGCCACAAGTTGGAAGGCGCCTGAGTCCCTGAACAACTTCAGGGAGCAGGGATTCCCCCAACAACCTGGACTCTTCCCCATGGGACAGTTGCACTACAGAAGAATAAACTACGTCCTATAAGCTGCTAGCGTGGGGTCTCTTCTAGCTTAATCTTTCTCTACTAAAACAATGGTAATGGAGGCATATAAGACACGGAAGTTCTAATTAACAACAGAGGCAGCTGTGTTGTCAGACTGTCTCATTTCCCACTCTAGAAAGGGAAGAGGGACACTGAATGGTACATGAGCACTGTCATGAGACGCCAAGAATCTCAAGTCTCAGGGTCTGCTAGTATTCCTAGCCATATCAAATCATCTTTTCTTGTTGCCTCAGACAGTAGAATAACACAGGTTATTCTACTTCCATCACAGACTTCAAAGTGTGTGCTTTTATCTGTTATAATTCTTTCCAAAATGTTTAGAAAATTGCTTCCATTTGCCACTTTGTTGCATCTGCTTTCTTTTTTGAGGATTGAGTTAATTGGGGGAGGGTTCTTTGATAATCACCTTTCAAATTTCAAATGTAAGAGTTTCCTATAATGATGTCTTTTTAATTTGAACCTCTAGATCAGAATTAGGAAACTATAGCCACCGGCTATTTTTTTGTCCTGCTTTGCTTTTTATTTCTTTATTGTAGTAAAATACACTTAACAAAATTTACCATCTAAACCATTTTAACAAATCAGTGATATTAAATGTATTTATAACATTGTGCAACTATAATCATCATTGATCTCCATATCTCTTCTCATCTGGTAAAACTGGAACTCTCTCTTAAACAACTCCCCATGCTCTTTATCCCTGACAACCAGCCTCTGACTTTTTGTCTAGATGATTTTGACTTTTCTAACTAACCCGTAAGTAGAATCACAAAGTTTTGTCTGTGACTGGCTTATTTCATTTTGCATAATGTCCTCAGGATTCATCCATGTTGTAGCATACGTCAGTGTCTTCCTTTCTGAAGGCTGAATGCTATTCTATGTATTTACCACATCTGTATTTATCCATTCATCTATTGACTTTATCTGTTTAGTCATATACTTCTTAATGCTCTTTTAACATTCTGCCTATTTAACTGCAGGAAGTGTAGCTGCAGGCTGTGATCATCTGAACAAAAGCCCAACTGTTACTCTCTGCCAAATCTTCCTGCTCTGGGCTCTCAGGACTGCTCTGTTTGAGGAACCTGCTCATCAGACATTAACCATGAGTCATGCTCCTTTGGGGGTGGCAATAGCCAATGCCCACACCCCCTTCTGACCTCTGACATTGCTATACTGTGGCCCAGCAACCTGGGCTTTCCCATCTCAGGTCGTTATTCAAAGGATGGCTAGCACCTATTAAATGCTTAAGTTAGGGAGAGCTACTTACTCATTTCCAAGGCCCATAAAATCTCGGAATGTTACACTGTATCTTCTCTGCTTAATATAACTATATCCAGAGTTTTAAATCCAAATGATGGCTATAGACATTGGCAGAGTCTTCCGTAGAGAAAATTTTTTCAAATTTCCAAATTTCTGAAAGATTTACTGTATGTCAGGCACTCTGATAGGTATCAGAGATTACAAAGAGTCCAATAAGACACGGATTTCCTCTTTAATAAATTTGTGACTGAGTTGGAGTGAAAAACAAGTACAATAACAATTATAACACAGTGAACTCTATTTTATTGAGAAATGTCATGAGGAGAGATATCTAGATTAGGGAAAGCTTTCGGGAGAGGGTAAGAGAAGATATTCCACCTTGGGACTGCTTAGCCCCCACCCCACAAGCCGACTTCCTCTCTGAACCACACAACACACAGTTTTATTACACATGGCCTACAGGAACATTCCATGACACTGAGTGAATGAGGCCAGGCACAGATGGACTGCCCTTCTATAAAAACCCATGGTGAGGAACAGAGGGATATGGATAAAAGATAGAAATGACCTGGGTGGCACCTGTAGCTCAAAGGAGTAGGGCGCCGGCCCCATATGCCAGAGGTGGTGGGTTCAAACCCAGCCCTGGACAAAAACTGAAAAAAAAAAAAAGACAAATAATGAAAGAACATTATGAACTTGTCCCACGATCCACATCTCCCCACACACACATTCCGATCCACCCAGCCCTTGCTATGGACAACATAACACAAAAGAACACAACGCATAACTCCGGCACAGTCAGTCCCGCATCCAGGGAGGTGAAGGGAATACAAGAAGACACACAAGTGTGTTCAGGCTTTATTAGGCATCAGACCAAGATCCAGCCAAGGGACAGGGCCTGCACACCAGGGAGTCCTGGCCTTTCAGGACAATGCTGGGGAACTTGGGGTCCATTCGGGCTTCTGAAAGCACAGACAAGCACTGATGGGAAAGATGGTCAGGCTGGCATTAGGACAGGGACAGGTGATGTTATAAGGGAGACTTTGAGGAAGGAAAGTGTGGAAGTGAAGCCTGCATGAGGGGAGGTCAGATTAGAAAAAGGGTGCCAATAAGGCCTTGAGGAGGAGAAAAGAGAAGAAAGAAACATAAAGGAACAAAAAGGCTGGTGCCAGGCAGTGAAGGGAATCTGGCTATTCTCCAGGGCCTCAGGCGGCAGGCACAGTGCTGGCTCCATCACCCATCTCCTGGTATCACAGAACCCTATCTTTTGCCAACCCACACTGCCATCCTTCCAAACAAGGGGCCTTGGAGGAAGCGGGCATGCTTCATGTACGCAGAGATCTTCTTCAGGCCCTGAGAGGGGGGAAAAAATAAGGCCAGAGCTCAGGGTCTGCTGCCCATAATGGCTACAGCAGCCCCCCGGCAGGCACAGCACTGCAGGGGCCTCACCACAGCCTTCCCTCGTGGGCTTAAGTGCAAGAGTATCGCAGGTCTCCTACGGTCCTGGCTCTGCTACCTACACTCTTCCAGACTCCTATAACTAATGGCATTGGTACCTAAATAAGAGCTACCACTGATAGAGACATTATAGCTCAGTGCTATAAAATCCCCTAGCTACTACAATGTATGCTCAGGAAATCTGGCAACTACCCTGCAAGATCAGTTCTAATATCACCATTCCCCAGAGGTTCAGCAACTTCCTCACCTGAACACAGCTACTACATGGAACAACACTGATCACAGCCTGCCTCTTCCCCTTTGCAGCTCTGGGCTTTCTGCCCAATTCTCCTCCTCCCATTCTCCTAGAGGAGGTCCTGTCACTCCCTGTCTGCACAAACATTCTCCTTTGTCACAAGGAGTATCTTGGCTTCCCTGGGTTTGCACACAGCGGGGGGGGGACCTCCAGCAGTACAAAGGGGCTCAGAACAGGCCAGTGCAGTCTGCAAGGGAGCCCAGATCTCACCCAGTGACTCAACAAAACCAGAATGAAAGTGGAGAAGGGCCATGCAAAAGGAAGGCCAGGCCAGGCTGAATCATTCCCCGTAAGCAGAAATGCCACACTGCTCCACCTGGTACCTGAGTCCACCTGAGTCCACCTGAGTCCAATCTCACAGTGTCCCAACCTAACTCACCTACACCCCTGCTACAGCCAATCAGGCCAGATGGCACTCAGTCGTGCTGTGCATGATTCTACCACAACAAAGTGCTTGCTGTGCATGATTCTACCACAACAAAGTGCCCAGTAATTTCTAAAGATTCAAAGAGATCAAGGGCTTCATGTACCCAAAGGGCCAGGCTGGGGCAGGCCACAGGCTGCAGCCCTCAGCTGTCCTCCCCTGCTCTCTCCTCCCACTAACTCTTACATAATCCCCAAGGCCACTCAGCCTGGCCAGAACCAGAGCTGATGAGAACCAGCTGAGACAGCAGCTCTCTTGAGTGGAGAGGAAAGGAAAACAGTGAATGACCTGATGGACTAATGCCTTGCTCCCCAGATCTGTCCTTGTTTGTAGATCTCAAACAAGTTGACTACAGGTGACCAGTGATTTGCCCCAAGGTGAACCCAGCTGGTACCACTTGCACCTTACAGCCAGGTGTACCAGCGGCTCCCCCTGCACTCACTTCCAGATGGAAGTGGTCATCTGTGCTTCTCCACTGCACCTGACACCCTGCCTTGTGCAGACAGCAGCAGTGAATATGAGCTAAAAGAAGCATACTCCCCTCACATAGAGCACACTCGGGAGCCTGGAGGGAAGAGGACACTTCAAGATCAACCCCCTCAACAGGAGCACCCACATCTGCACTCGAATCCAGCACTGACTGTGGCCCTGGTGGCATCTCAGGACTCCCCACGTGAGGATCCAATGGCAGCAAACCTTTCTGGAGATGAGGTATGAATATTGTCTGTGTCTTGTGTATAGATGGACCTCAGTCCTACCTGTGTCACTCCTACAAATGCCAGTCACATGCACACTCTTGGAATGTCCTGCCTCTTCCATAGTGTCCCTTTTCCCTTTAACATAAAAAGGGGAGAGCCCGGGGTGGCGCCTGTGGCTCAGAGGAGTAGGGCACCAGCCCCATATGCCAGAGGTGGCGGCTTCAAACACAGCCTCAGCCAAAAAACTGAAAAAAAAAAAAAAAACGTGGAAAAGGAAGCTTTCCACTCTTTAAAAATAAAGGGAGAGCCCAGACTGCTGCCCTTGGAGGACAGAGGCTGACAGGGAGCCCACACAGCCTCTGCTGGCTCTGGGACCTTGAGCCAATGACTTACCCGCTCACTCCCCAGTTTCCTTATCTGTAAAATGGAAGTGATAATTCTATTGGCCTTGGGGGAATGTTATAATGTTCAAATTTGGCACTATAGAAGTAGTTAATAATATGCTGAGCACAGGTCCAGGAGTGAAGTCAGAATTCAATAAATATTAGTTACACTTTCTTTAGCTCCAGGACTAGGAAAACATCACAAAGGAAGGGAAAGGAATAAATCCCATCAAAGAAGAGGAGGAGGATTGGGGGACATCACCTCAAAACGGGCCATGAAGTCCTTCAGGTTAGGGAATGCATCCAGGCACTTGGGTTCAAATATGCGATGTATGTCAAAGACATCGTAAGCAAGGAAATCCACAAAGGTGATCTGCAGAAGGCCAAAGGTGAGGGGGCTGGAAGCTCTGGGATGCAGGAAGTATGACAACTCTCATTCCCTACTGCCTGCCCCTTTACCTTGTCCCCCACAAACCATGGACGTGTCCCCAGGAACTCCGAGTAAAGCTTCATCTTTTCAGGGATTTCCTTCAAGAAGTCGGGCTTCAGTTTCTCCTGAGGCAGAGAACAGCTGTCAGCACTCTCAGACACCAGCACCCCAGGCACAGAAGCAGAAGGGCTGTGTGTGGCCCCTGCTGGCCACAGGTGAGCAGCCATGTGCCCCACCATTAGAAGTGGGTCCGTGCCCGGGCTTCCATTAATACATCAGCATTGATTAGGCTCCTACTGGGCAGCAGACCCTGTCTGAGGTGATGGGAAAGCAGAAAGGATTAAGACTGCCCCTGAATCTGTCA